CTGGGCAACATGGTGAGACCCCGTCTCTACAAAAAATTTTAAAAATTAGCTGGGCATAGTGGCCGATATAGCTTGGCTGTGACCCCACCCAAATCTCAAATTGAATTGTAACTCCCACAATTCCCACATGCTGGGAGGAATCCAGTGGGAGGTAATTGAATCATGGGACAGGTCTTTCTCATGCTGTTCTTGCAATGGTGAATAAGTCTTACAAGATCTGGTGGTTTTAAAAAGAGGAGTTTCCGGGTGGGTGCAGTGGCTCACACCTGTAATCTCAGCACTTTGGGAGGCCAAGGCAGGCAGATCACAAGATCAGGAGTTCGAGACCAACCTAGCCAATATGGTGAAACCCATCTCTACTAAAAATACAAAAATTAGCCAGGAGTTGGTAGCGCATGCCTATAGTCCCAGGTACTCGGGAGGCTGAGGTAGGAGAATCGCTTGAACATGGGAGGTGGAGGTTGTAGTGAGGCAAGACTGTGCCACTGCAATCTAGCCTGGGTGATAGAGCAAGACTCCATCCCCCCCCCCCCACAAAAAGAGGAATTCCCCTGCATAAACTTTCCTTTTGCCTGCCACCATCCATGTAAGATGTGACTTGCTCCTGTTAAGTCCAGTAAACCCCTTTCTTTTGTAAATTGCCCAGTCTCAAGTATGTCTTTATCAGCAGCATGAAAACGGACTAATACAGTGGCCCATGCCTGTAGTCCTGACTACTCAGGAGGCTGAGGCAGGAGGATCACTTGAGCCCAGGAGTCTGAGGCTGCAGTGAACCATGATTGTGCCACTGCACTCCAGCCTGGGAAACCAGAGTTAGACCCTGTCTCAAACAAAGAAATAATAAATAATAAATATGTAGATATGATATGAATTTTTGATTTTGATACCAGGGACCAAATGTTATTATTAATTCTAAGATACATTGCATAGTGGTTTGGATTTTAGGCCTGGAGCTGCACAGCCTGGGGATGGATACCATCTTTGCTGCACAGTTGGGCAGATGCAAGCAGCCTACTCAGGCTCTCCATCACTACATTCCTCACTTGCCAAGGAGGATAGTAACTGTCCATACTATAATTCATACAAAGTCCTGAGCCCAAGCCTGATATTTGGTTAGTGCTCAGTAAATGTTAGCTAAGTGGTTACTTGTTTTGCCACCTGAGGACATCTTTGGTAAGCTTAACTCCCTGACCCAGGTGTTTCTTATGGCTATAGAATCTGTCTGTGAAGTGGCTGTTGAGAATGAAGACTTGACTTCATCTGCATACATAGTCTTAACCTTAGACTAGGACCTTTTTAAACATCATTTTTGGACCAATTTTGTTAACCACTACAGCGGTTGAGCAGTTAGAGAGTCTGCATTAAATCTTTAAGATACTTTTAAAATGTGCTGTACTGCTAGTATGGACTTCAAATTATAAACTAAGAATTAGGGGTGAGTTTTATAGTATTGAGAAGTCGTTTAAGCATCTAAGGGAAACCAAATCCTCACTTTACTTTTTCCAGCTTCTAGCTTCTAGCCTGGATTTCCTCAGGTTCTAATTTATATAAGGTTGTGCTTTATTTAACAGTTTTTAAAAGCCATTTGGGCGATATATCTTCTAGAGATTTTTTTAAAGGAACAAATAAGCTACTGAAAAGGGCTATATACAGTTTAAAAGGAGATGTAATTGTACAACTAGACATATTTAAGGCTCCTAAAATAAGGTATAAGACATTCTTTTTCTATATATTGTAGATTGTGTAAATAAAGTGTGAAGTAAATGTATCACATACACATACATTGGTTAAGAAAATGGATTCAAATACTGGTTTTAATCACTTACTGACTTCATAATTTTAGACAACTTGCTCAAATTCTCTGTTCAATTTTTTATGTATAAGAGGCTTAATAATGCTATCTAATTAATAGAGATGGAGTGAGGATTAGATTACTAAATTGTACTGAATTAAATATATGTTGATTAGGGCATACATGGACATAATATGTTGAATACATGTGCATATTTAGGATAAGGGCTGGTACATAAAGCCATTGTTAACTACGATAATGATAATGATAGCTACCACCAAATCATCCAAATGAAAAAGAAAGCAAGTCAAAATATTACATTGTTCAGCATCTTAAACTTGTCTTTTACTAAAACTATCTGAAAAAAATTGTCAGGAAAAACAGTTTTTGGTATTAGCCGCTGAAAAAATGTTTTAAAAAATTCACATCAGGGCTGGGCATGGTGACTCATGCCTGTAATCCCAGCAATTTGGGAGGCCAAGGCAGGCGGATCACTTGAGGCCAGGAGTTTGAGACTAGTCTGGCCAACATAGCAAAACCCCATCTCTACTGAAAATACAAATAATTAGCCTGGCGTGGTGTAGGCACCTGTAATCCCAGCTACCAGAGAGGCTGAGGCAGGAGAATCACTTGAACCCAGAAGATAGAGGTTGCAGTGAGCCGAGATCGCACCACTGTACTCCAGCCTGGGCAACAGAGTGATAGTCCGTCTCAGACAAACAAACAATTCACATCAGAAAACCTGGATTTAGGTCTTTGTGGTGCCATTCACCAGAGTAGGCAGGTGACTGGGCCTATTGAAACCTCTTTTTCACTAGCAAAAGTGGAATAAGATACTGTATCTCAGTTGTTGGTGTGAAAATAAATTCCACTCTTGATAGGAGGGATTCTGTCTCCATCTAGAATAGTATCCTTCAGTAGAGATAAAATGTGATCCATGTGTATAATTTAAAATTTTCTAGTAGCCACATTAAAAAAGAAACAATTGAAATTAATTTAAATAATATATTTAACCCAATATATCTAAAATATTGCCATTTCAACATGTAATTACTATAAAAATTATTGAGATTACCTTTTCATGTCATATCTGAAATCTAGTGTATATTTTATACTTAACATTACATCTCACCTTAAACTAGCCACATTTCCAATGCTTAGCGGCCACATGTGGCTAGTGGCTACTGTATTGGGCAGTCCAGATCTAGAATATAGATTACTCTTCGCTACCAGTGTTCTTGGGTACTAGTGCTGCTTTGACCATAAGCAATTAGCATAACTTTACTCTTAATGTATGCACCTTTGGATGCTTGAGCCCTGCAACTCTTTCATGAGCAGCCTAGCTTAGTAGAGCTTCTGAGAGGATAGGATTCTCCCCTTAGCCTTTTGGCTGATCCAGGTGAGGACTTGTTCTGGACATGTCACATGCCGCTCTATTTGGTCAAGCCCAGTAGACAACCAGGAATTGCCAAACCATTGAGTACAGTAAACCTTTTGAACCACAGGGATCAGAGCTCCATGTCAGGATCAGGCTTTTAAAATCCCTCCACTCTTGTTTCTTATCTGGGTTTTGTTTGTTTTTTGTTTTTGCCTCTTTCCCAAATTTCAGAGACTTATCTAGAATCCCTGAGAAAAGAGCAAATACCAGCAGTCTTCTGAAGGAATTCAGCTTGTCAGTCTGCTACTTCAACTTGGCATAACAAGGCAATCCTCTCTTCCCAAAGATTATTTTGACTTGAGAAGACATTTAGAACCCCTTCTGGGGACATGAAATTTGGGAAGAAGGGGAAGTATTCAATTGTACATAATAGCCCTGGGGCTAAACTTTTTATATCTAAGCTTTTTTTATTTTAAGATTTTCTGATACCATCTCTTACCCACATTTTGTGAGAATTGTCATGAAGGCAGTGTTATCCTAGGAGCTGTGTTTAATGGTAAAAAGAGGTAGAGAGTATAGGATTCAGATACATTCATCCAACAAAAAACTGCTCAAATGTCACCAACTTACGGGTAGCTAAGGGATCCTATCCTGATCACGTTATTTAAAATAGCTGCCAGCTCCCAGCACCCTGTCTCTACCTTATTTATTTTTTTTTTTTTTTTGCAGGCGGGGGCGGGGGGGCAGGTAAAAATATTACTTATCACTAACAAACCTAATCTCATGTGTAAGAATCCTAGTGTTTACTTTTGACCAAACATTTAGGTAAACTTTTAGATAGTGTAGATCATGAGGAGTGGAAAAGAAGTAGCTTGGAATGCAGCTGTGAAAGGGGAGTATTAGAGCCAATCTATACCATGTGAAAACTTCAGGTTATACAGGGTAATAGAATGAAGGAGGGGTATTAAGATGAGTAATTGAACTAATATTTTATATTTCAGGTGCTGTAAATATGTCTAAGGTATTGGGGCAAAACGATTGGCATAATAAGTAGTAGAAGCACTTAAGTGAAAGATGAGAGATTTAAAGCCAGAGAGATTAGTAGTGTTTGTAGGAAATGTGGGCTGTATAGTCTTGTGGCTCCAGACCCACAAGTCACATTTCCATTGTCTCTGTTTAGAATCTTTATTTGAAATTTTGTTTATCCCTGTCACTTTTTCAGTCATTCTTCCAATTTACCTCTCATGCCTTTGTCCCAGCTTGATACCATTGTTGATACTTTGTGCTCCATGGAATTACAGTACCTGTGAGTGGAAACTCATTACACCCTGCCAAGGGCAGAAAGTCCATTGTAACTCCCAGTTTGTCCCTGGAGCACCCTGCCAATAAAAGTAATACAAACAGGTTGAAAACTCTCAAGTTATGTTAAGAGTTATTTATGTTGCATTTAAATAAATGTTTATCAAAGGGAATAAATGCAGACTTAACTTTTTACCTTTTTCTGTCCTACTTCTTTAAATGAGAAAAACTTATTTTATGTAAATGCACCAACATTTTTAACCTAATATGATGATGAGTAGTATTTGGTGTGTGAACGTATTTAAGAAAAACAATAAGCAAAATAGCGTATGCTTTTTATTTGTGGCAGTAGACTTTTATTTCATTTGGGTTTTATTACAGTGTTACAATTATAAGGTTTTTGAAGTTTAATTAAATAATGATATTCTACTTGTAGTAGGTATTTTAAGTTTTGTTTCTAATTATACTTAGTTTAACATTAAATGAAAGTTCATATGATGCATTTTAACCTAACGTTTTCTTTCTTCTTAGTCTGTAAGACTTGTATTGTTCAGCACTTTGAAGATAGCAATGATTGCCCAAGGTGTGGCAACCAAGTTCATGAGACAAATCCATTAGAAATGTTGAGGTAAGGATATATATTTTACAGTTTATCTAATTTAAATAAGTTGAATGAGCACTTAATTTTTATTATATGTCATAGTATTTCATGTCTTGACTCAGTTAATATATAGGTCTTATGATTTTTAAGTATTTTATTAAATATTAAAAATAAGGTTTACATCTTAAATATTTAAGAAATACATTTCCAAATTAAAAGTATAACTTTCTCTTTGGCTGTAAGAGTGACTTTAGGTTACAGGTATTTTCAGTATTTTAAGTCTGTATTATGTTGAGCTACACAGTAGTAGAAAGATGGAGAACTCAGAGAAAAACTAATATTAGGACTACTGATTTTTAAATTTACCACTTACTCAAAAAATAGTATATGAAAATTTATGTAAAACTTAAAAGTTTTTTTAAGGCTACCATTTACTTTACCCCTCAACTTACGCAGTATAATCATATATTTTTAAAGCTGGAAGTAGTCTATGAGATTCTAATCCAAATCCCTTTATTGAAATCTGGAGAAGTGATGTGACCTAACCTAAATTTTCACAGAATACCTCAAATGTCACTTTCCAGCTACAGGCCATGTGTCCTCACCACTAGACCCATTTCCATCCCATTGTTTCCCATCCGCTATAGCTCTAACGCAGATCACTTGTGTGATCTTTAAGAAGCTACACATCTAAAGATAGAGCTAGATAGTCTCTGGAAACTTTCATAACTCTCTTATTTGTGTGGTGTTTGCCGTCATTCTATAAATCTGGATTTGCAAGTCTTACATTTCAGACTTTTGTTTTTCAATTTTAATGCCTGTTTGGGATGATTTGTCTACAGGTAAATGTCTAGCCCTGTGGTTTTCAAAGTGTGATCCCCAAACCATTAGTATCATGTTAGAAATGACAGTTCTCAGACCACACATCAGAGCTGCTAAATCAGACACTTGGGGATTGGAGCTCACTTAGTTTAGCAAGCTCTCTAGGCGATGCTAATATATGCCAACATTTGGGAACCACTGGTCAACTCTGGTCTGTAATTCTGAGCAAGCCTTTTTCTAGTTGGATTTATATCAGTACCTCTCAACCAGGGGTGATTTTGCCCCAGGAAACATTTAGCAACATCTGGAGACATTTTTGGTTGTCGGATCTGGATGGGTGCTCCTGGCATCTCGTAGGTAGGGACTAGGGATGCTACTAAGCATCCTACAATGCACAGGATAGGCCCCACACAGCAAAATTTATCCAGCCTAAAACATCAATAGTACTGCAATAAGGAAACTGACTTCAGTAATTCGGAGAATAAAGCAAACATTTTCTCTTAAATAATTTTTTTTCTTAATTTTAAAACAGGAAACTGTTAATATCCAGTTGTAATGAAAAATTATTACCAACTGTTAATAAAAACTAAAATAATTTATTTTTTATTAGAATAAAAAACTTAATAAAAAAGAGTTAATAATAATTACCTTCTCTGTTCTTAAAGGACCACATCATAAGGCATTTTATCTTAATCCTTTGGTTCTGGCCATTAGATACCTGAAGGAATCCAGACACTGTTTAATCAAATCTGTTCTGTTGGCTAAAGTATAACATATATTTTTAACTTTTTATTTGGAAATAATTTCAAACTTAAAAATAATCCCCCAAATAAAAGTAGTACAAGAACTACTTGCATTCTGTTCACTCAGATTAGCCTCTTATTAACATTTTATATCATTTGCTCATGAGCATGTGTGTACTGCATGCTTTATTTTTTCTGAACTATTTGAGGGTAAGCTACATGTATCATGGCCCCTTACTCTTAAATATTTCAGTGTATATTTCCTAAGAATAAGGATATTGTATCACATAACCACAGTATGATTGCATTGGTATAATACTTTAACCTAACTTCCATATTCTAGTTTTCTCAAATTATCTAAAGATATCCTTTATAGAAATTGTTTTCCTCCTAAAATTCAACTGAAATTACTGCAAAGGAATTATTTTAAAGACATAAACTCAGAGATAATAAGAACAAGATACTCTGTGTCTTCGGCACCTAGGTTCTCAGTAAGTACTTTTTATTTTTTTTATTTATTTATTTATTTATTTTTTTGAGACGGAGTTTCGCTCTTGTTACCCAGGCTGGAGTGCAATGGCACGATCTCGGCTCACCGCAACCTCCACCTCCTGGGTTCAGGCAATTCTCCTGCCTCAGCCTCCTGAGTAGCTGGGATTACAGGCACGCGCCACCATGCCCAGCTGATTTTTTGTATTTGTAGTAGAGACGGGGTTTCACCATGTTGACCAGGATGGTCTCGATCTCTTGACCTCGTGATCCACCCGCCTTGGCCTCCCAAAGTGCTGGGATTACAGGCTTGAGCCACCGCGCCCGGCCAGTAAGTACTTTTTAAAGGATAAGAAGAAATGGTAGAATAGATGTCAGCAGAAACTGAAAACTAGAAAGCAAACTGGTGGTGGTGACAGTTGAACAGACCTCAGAGGCCTAAGTATACCAGGGAACTAAGGAGTAGGGAGATAGTAGGGAGGGGACAATCTTTACTAAAGTTTCCTACAGCAGGCTCCTTTTTAGCCCAAACTAGGTCACATGACACTCACTAGGTAAAGTGGTGTGGTGGGTTTTGAAATGCTTTAACAAATCATGAATTATCCTAGGGGGTGCCCACATTGCAGCCAGAACATAATTGGATTTTGTTAGCAAGCAATAAGGGGAATTTAGGCTCCTTCGTTAGGTACCTAAATTGCCTGTGACACATGTAGCAAAAAATTTCCCTTCTATGTACTTTTTCTCAGTAAGCTTTTGGGAAGCTTGAGTATAAACCAAGAAAGAATAAAGGAATCTAACATAGCAGGGAGGTGAAGGGATCTGACAGTTGTGCAGCAGGCCTGGGAAACAAGCAGTCTGTATTTGTACTGTCCAGTATGGTAGCAATTAGCCACATGAGGTTGTTAAGCACTTTCAATGTTGCTAGTGCAACTGAGGAATGGAATTTCTAATTTAATTTCAATTAAAACCTGAAGCAGTGTAAATATTTTCCCACTAAAGATAACTTTATTCTTCAATAAATAAAAATTACTAAATTATTATTAAATATATTTTCATATATAACAAAACATTAAAGTTAGTTTTACATAAAAAGTGTAAAGTAACTGATGTTAATGTGCCTACTAAAAATTTAAAATTACATATTTGACTCACATTATATTTCTATTGGACATCACTGATATAGACAGTAGAAGGAAGTTGGAGGAAGATGCCCCTCCATGAGGGGAATCATTCATTCAGCAAATATTTACTGGATGCCTGCAATGTCCAGACATTATTCTAGGTGATTGAGGTCCATTCGCAGACAAAATAGGTAAGGATCTTTGCCCTTGTAGATTTAATATTTTTGTAGTGACAGACATTCAATAAACCATATAATAAGTAACTTATATGGTATGTTAGAAAGTGAAAATTACAAAGGGAAGAAAGGGAGAAGTGTTGTGGGGTGAGGAGGTCAGGAGTGTCAAGGGAGCAGCAGATTGCAGTTTTAAATAAGATGTTGAGGATCGGCTTCAATGGGAAGGTGAGATTTAAGCAAAGACTTGGAGACTATGAGAGGTTAACCATGGATAGGACTGGGAAGGCATGCCTATTCCAGGTAAAGGGAGCAGCCAGTGCAAAGCGCCTAAGTCAGAAGTGTATATATGCCTTGTTGGACAACCAGCAAGGAGACCTGGGTGTCTGGGGAACAATGAGTGAGAGACAGAATACTGGGTAACAAGGGCAGAGAGATCATGAAATTCCAGATCATGAAGGGCCATGTAGGCCACTATAAACATTTTATCTTTTACTCCAAATGAAATGGGGAGCCTATGCAGGATTTTGGTTGGAGGATTGATCCGATATGAACATTTTGATGACTGTATTGAGAATGCCCTTGCATATAGCAAGGCAAGGGTAGAAGCAGGGAGAACAGTTAGAAAGTAATTGCACTGACCCTGGTGAGAGGTAGTAGCTGAAGAGGGGACAAGAAATGCTCATATTCTGAATATATTTCTAAAGTAGATTCAGCAAGGTTTGCTGATGGAATGGATATAGGATAAAGAAGAGTTGAACATGACTTTAAGATTTCTGATCTGAGCATTACTTTAAGATTTCTTAACTGAGCAACTGGAAGAACGGAGTTGCCATTAACTGAGTTGGGAAGATTAATAATAGAGAATGGAAGGGGTAGATCAGGACTTTGATTGTGGACATGTTGAGTTATTCATTTCAGAGAAGAGAGAAAGTTGGTAAGTGTATATATATATATATATATATATATGGGTCTGGAACTCAAAGGGAGAGGTCTAGGCTAGAGATAAACATTTGGTAGTCTTTAGCATATAGAAGATTTTTCAAGTTGTGAGGCAGGATGTGATCACTTCAGGGAGTAAGTACAGAGAGGAATGAGTAAAGGACCAAGGACAGAGCCCTGGAGAACTCCAGCATTAAGTGTTCAGAGACAGGAGGAGCCAGCAGAAGAAACTGAGAAGGTGCAACCAGTGAGGTGGAGGAAAATCCAGGAATGTGTAGTGCCCTAGAAGTCAGGTGAACACAGTATGTATGTCAAAGAAGACGGAGTGATCCATCTGTGTCATTTGTTGTTTATGGGTACAAACAAGGTGAAGACTGAGAATGATTATTAGATTAAGCAACGTGGAGGTCATCAACTTTGAAAAGAGCACTTGCAGGTGCTCCTCTCAACTCTAAAGAAGCTGTGAGACAAAAAACCTAATTGGATTGTTTTAAGAGAGGAATTAGCAACAGTGAGTATAGACAGCTCTTTCAAGGAGTTTTGCTACAAATGGGAGCAAAGAAATTGGGGGCAGTGGTGGGTTACTGTCAAGTGCAGCCAAGAAGTTTCTTTATTTTGTTTTGATAAGGGAAAAATAATGCCATATTTGAAGGGAATGATCCAGTAGAAAGCAGAAAGTTAATAATATAGGAGAGTAGGGAATGGAATTTAACAGCATAAGAGGAGACACTGGTTTTCAATAGGAGCACTGAGAAAAAAAGTTGTAGCAACAGGCAGGCAGGCAGAGAGTACATGATGCAGATGCTATAGGTAAGTATGGTGGCCAGGGCCTATGGAAGTTTGTTTTTTCTTGCTTTGACATATTTCACTGAGAGGAAAGTGTTTATCAGCCAAAATTAAGGATGGAGAAAAGGGATTTGGAGGGTTGGGGAGGGAAAAAAGCGTGTTGTCAAGGAGAGTGAGAGAATCAATACACTTGGGAGTGTAGTATGATTCCTGGAAAACTTAAAGGCATATTTGGGTTGTAGTTTGGAATTTGAAGTGCTGTGGTTGTGTTTTTATGCAGCCATGGGTACCAGTGCAGAGTTGAAGGAAAGTTGTATTTAACCCAAGTTGTACCAAATAATTTTGAGCAAGTAAGATAGAGACAAGGGTACATGTAAGGAAGTGATTTAATGACTGACCGTAAAACAGATTAATCCTAAGTTGGGTTGAGAGGACAGAAAAGGGCATCAAAGTGGTAAGTAATGTTTCAGAGGAAACAGAAATAAAACTAAGTTGATTCCTGATCTGTTTGTACATAGTGAGAAGTGCTATTTTTTATGCACTCCTTCTACTAAATAGCCTGGGAAAACTTTACAAGTAACTTCGTCTTGAAGAATAAGATAGCATTGGTTTGATCGGAGAGTATAAAGAGTATTTGAGCCAGGATGTAAAAAACGAGGGAGAAAAAATGAATTGAAAAAGACAAGGAATTCTTGGGATAATTGAATAAGCCAGTTGGCTGGAGAAGAGAGACAGTGAGTGAATAGTACCAGTTATGGTATAGGTTGGACTCAAGTTATGTAAATACATGAAGCCAGGTAGTAGGGAAAAATTAGTTCTTGAGAGGTAACTAACACAATCAGATTAGTACTTTAGGAAGATTCATTGTGAGCTTGTCTCTGCTCTGTTCAAAGTAGGATGGTAATTGAAGGAACGGAAGAAATGATGGAGGAATAGATGGGACAGATGTGGTTTGGTGAGTAAATGTGTAAATGAAGGGAAAGAGAGAAGTTAAGATCCTTCTCATATTTTGAGCCAACTTGGGAGAATTATGGTATTACTTAAAAATTTAATTTAAAAAATGTGAGACAGTGGGTGAGGTACTTAGTATTTTATTGGAGAAGGATAGATGAGACAATCTTGACATAGATGAATAAAAGGAGGTATTTGAAATGTTTAGCATTCTTTGGAAATATGGAACTTGAAATCAGCAGAGAGATGTTACATAAAGGCATGTAGATAGACACATGGATGGATCTCTGCCTATATGTTAGTTTTGAAGACACCAAAGCAGATGAAATCCCCAAGGAAGACAGAACTTTGAAAAGATCAGAGTGCAGAGTACAAAGCAAGGGAGAATATCAGATTTAAAAGTAGCTGGGAAACAGAAAAATACTTAGTAACAAAGAAAGAACAGACTTGGAAATTTAAAAAATGAAAACAAAGGAGATTTTCAGGGAGGCAGGCAGTGTCAGACAACACTGTCAAACTGCTGCAGAGAAATATAGAAGAAATGTAAACAAACAAGAATTTTTAAGTTTAAATTTTAATTCTAAAACTTTTAAACCTGTTCAGTATGGAAGTTATGGATGATTTGCAGAGTTCAGTAGAGTAAAAGAAGGAAAACAGAGTAGGGTACAGAAATAATGTAGGTTTTACTTTCATATTTTTTTCCAGTTAGAAGAAAAGATTGAGAAACAGAATAATAGTTTGAAAATACAATGCATTAATAAAGGTTTTGGGTCTTTTTTTTTGATACAAGAAACCTCTATGTGTTTGTAGTCTTGTAGAAGAGTAATGCCGTTAAGCAGGGGTAGGAAGAGGGTGTTGTGGGGGCAAGAGAATGGGATTAAAGACAAAAAGCCATGAAAAAGGTGAATTATATAGCAGGAAAGAAAATAAGAAAAATGTCAAGATAAATATTTGAAGTTTTCATTTCAGAAGGTAAAATGATAAAGTGGTCTACATTTCTCAGAAGAGTGGAATGGAGATTATTTCCTTTATGGGAAAGAGCCAGAGCTGTGGTAGAAATTTTGAGAATGGGGGTATCAGCTGTTGCTGCATAACAGCAACTCCTAAACTGATGCTTGAAAAAGCAAGCATTTATTATTCCTCCTAGTTCCCTGGGTAAGCTGGGTGGTTCTTCTGGTCTTGGCTGGGCTCACTCATGCTAATGCAGTTTGCTGTGTGCATTGGGTAATCTGCTGTGCTGATTTTGGGGGATGGGCTGTTTGTGGACTAGTCTAAAATGGCTTCAGCTGGGCAGCTTGGTCTCTTCTACATGGTCTCTCATCCTCTAGCCTTGTTCTCATACTATCAGGATTCTATGAAAGAGAGAGAAATAGAAACAAAAGCATGTGATGCCTGTTGAGGCCTAGGCTTAGAACCAAGCACAGTCACTTGTGCCACATTCTGCTGGCCTCAACAAGTTTTAAGGCCAGCCCATATTTCCAAGGCAGGGAAATAGACTCCCCTCCTTAGTCAAGGGAGGAATTTCAAAGTCATGCTCAAGAGTGTGGATATAGAGAAAGCTGGGGACTGGGACCATTTTTGTAATCAGTCTACTACTGGGGAAGGCTGGAAATAGGTGTGTTCCCTGGACAGAAGAGTGTGGTATAGTAAATGTGCTAAAATTGTATATGTTCTATATTTTGTAATACATATAAGATATACATTTCAGACTATTTACGTGTCAGATTTTGGTATCTTCATTGTTAGTATATTCTTTCTCTCCCCTTTCGAAGGTTGGACAATACATTAGAGGAAATTATATTTAAGCTGGTCCCTGGACTGCGAGAACGTAAGTGGCTCTTTGGGTTCTTGCAGACTTTTGTGTTTTATGAAATCAACATTTCTATTACAAATTTCATGACTTTTCTTTTTATACTCTCTTTCATTTAAATTTAGAAGAACTTGAGCGTGAATCTGAATTTTGGAAGAAAAATAAGCCTCAAGAAAATGGACAAGGTGACTTTTTCTTATGTCTGTTTCTGAAAGCATCCTTAAATTGGTTAGTTTTTCATAGCTTAGGTGAACTAATAGCTCTCTTCAGGCTCACATTTTTCCTGTATTAAATTTCTGCTCCCTTTTATTTACATTATGAACCTTTTTCTCTGTAGGAGATTTTATATAAATGAATGTAAATCTGAAGTCACTTTAGTAGAAGATAATTGGAAACAGAGGAAACTGGACTTTGGGAAGAGAAAAGGGAGATAAAAGAGAAAATTGGCTAGATGTTTATAGTAGTAATTTCTAGGGAGCTAAAGGAAGCTGAAGTAAGAAATAGCCACAGCTTGCAACTAAACAGTGAAGAGCTTTGTGTTTTATTTCTTTCGTATGTTTGTCTCTATAGGAGAAGGAACTGAGATGTGGCTGAAAGCCAGATCAGGAGATTTTACTATGCTTTAATATTCTGGAATGAAGTTTTTATAAGTAGAGCTCAGGTGATACAAACCTATATGTCATGGAAATTTAGAAAGTATTTCTGGATGCTTATGGGAATTTTCCCCATCACCTATGCTGCATGTCCAGATTTCTCCTCTAGGTTCCAAGAGACTCAGCAATTAGTAATTTTTAATAATTGCAGCAAAGGGGCAAACATTACTGAGCAGATAAAAGGCTTTTAGCATACATATATATGTATAAAATCCACACAAAGGGATATATGAAATAAGAAAGTAGTATCATTCCCATTGTTTTTTTAATATGAGATTTAATTTAAGATGTCCTAAATACCATTTAAAGTTATTCAAGAATATGTGTGTGTTCTTATGGGGCCACTTGTGAGTTCAGCCTCCCAATCTTGGTTTTCCCGTAAGATCACAGGATTGCCAATTATACATGACGAAGGTAGATGAGAAAATGCCATCTCTCTCTTAATCTGTAAAATGGAGATTATCATTTTATTAGTTCAACTTAACTGTGCAAAGTCGTTTTCTTAGAGAAGGGGAAGTTCGAGAATAGTTTTGATGATTAGAGTAAGGTAGCAAGAGACTATTTTTAATCTATAACAACAACAACAAAAAAAAGCAAAGAAGCTAAGCCTGACCAAAAAAATGACTTAACTAGGCCTTTTTTTACCCAAATATACACTGCAATTAGACAACGATAAGCAATTGTAGTAGTGCTGTAATAAAAATACAGATAAGATAAGGCTAATTAAATATTCCAGTTTTTGACTATCTTTTCAAGAGGACAGGAGCCTGGGAGATTGTCCTCAGAAATTATGTGGCAGGTTTACTCTATTATTCTACATATCACAGATTGACCTGTGAAGGGCTGTAGCCTACTTTGTGAATTTTATCTCCCTTTTCCTATTGTTTCTCCCTTTTTAAAGTATTTATGGTATTTGGTCTTTAGCTTGGGTGGAGAATTTGGATTTTTTGTTGGAGCTGGGAGTTTGGTTCATAGAAGGCAACTCCTGTGTATGTGCATTCTCTATAAATAAGCAGAAGAAAACATGTAGAAAAATACCCCACCTCCCTGCTTTATGGTACACCTGTAATGCTTTTACTATAGGTATCCAAGGGGATTTAGCCTGTCACTTTGCAGGGAAGTTTTTCTACAATGTAATGTTTGGCTGGCTAAATTTTTCAGGTTTTAGCTTAAAGGTATTTCATCCGGAAATTGTCCCTGAACCTCTGCTTCACTCCCAAAGTTTGGGTTTACTCTCTCTTTTACATGTGCCTGCATAGTCCATTTTACTTCTCCCATCCTATATTTGTCTGGTTTCTTTTTTGTTTTTCTCTTTTTTATTTACCTTTATTTCATCCCATATCCTGACCACTGTGAGAGTGAGGATGATAGCTGCAGGTTCAGTATTGTTCCCTCAGGCCTTGTATGATGTGTATCCAACATAATGTTAAAGCTACTCAACCAATGCATGATAAATATAGCTGCAATATTTATAGGGTACAGGTAATAGGTGAAATACATTTGTATATAATACAAAGTAGGCCATTCAGATTTCTTTGAGTTGTAACATACATTAATAGCTGTATACGTGTTACAAAGCTAATTCATTATACTCATTTTTTTTCACTAGCTGATTTTATATCTAGTAATTTGAAATTTTGAGAACTTAGTTTTATAATTTAAAGTGTTTGGTTTTAATTTGAATATATACTTCTGTATATAAACTTGAGTATAATTCATATATATACATATAAATAATTTGGAAGTATTTTTTTATATCCTGTTTATTCTCTAACGTAGTCTAATCACTAATTGCAATTATTTTTTTGGCTAAATACAGCTAGTCCTGAATCTTTCATTTGGATGTCCCAGTGAGCGTAGAAATCTTAAACTAAGTTAATAAGTCTCCAATTAAAAAAAGAATTTCCAAGGCCGGGCGCGGTGGCTCAAGCCTGTAATCCCAGCACTTTGGGAGGCCGAGGCGGGTGGATCACGAGGTCAAGAGATCGAGACCATCCTGGTCAACATGGTGAAAACCCGTCTCTACTAAAACTACAAAAAATTAGCTGGGCATGGTGGCGCGTGCCTGTAGTCCCAGCTACTCAGGAGGCTGAGGCAGGAGAATTGCCTGAACCCAGGAGGCGGAGGTTGCGGTGAGCCGAGATCGTGCCATTGCACTCCAGCCTGGGTAACAAGAGCGAAACTCCGTCTCAAAAAAAAAAAAAAAAGAATTTCCATTGTTGAGTTGGTTGGAACATTTTAAAGATACTATATTCTTCTTCAAAAGCTGTTAGGAAATTTTTTTAAGTTGATTTTTCTTTTGATAATCAGTGTATTATTATTGCTTAACTTTACAATCAATTTTGATTCATAGCTGTTAATTTTGTTTAAATTATGCAGATGTTACTTCAAAAGCTGACAAACCGAAAGTAGATGAAGAAGGTGATGAAAATCAAGATTATCACAGAAGTGACCCACAAATTGCTATCTGTCTAGATTGTTTACGAAATAATGGACAATCGGGGGACAATGTAGTAAAGGTGAGTGAACAAGACTGTGGTATTTTTATGATCAGTTTATAGTAAACCCTTGGTAATTTGTTGACAAATTTTCTAATGCTTCAAAATGTTTGCTTTCAAAGTTTTAATTAACATAATTAAATAAAATGTCATTCTTTGACAATCCTATGCTTACAAATTGTTGCAATTCCCACAACTGAACCGTCCTGGGTCAATGCCACCATCTAGTGGCTAATGCACAGAATCACACCTCTCTTTCTCCACCTCCTTTTATACCTTTGTTGGGAGTTCATATGCATAGTTTCTGTTTTTTAAGCATGGTGACAAACTTAGAGACTTTTATGTCACCATTAATTCTAGCCCTTTTATTAATTATCTTCTAATTTCATCCTTTATTTCTCTATTTTTATTTGCAACTCAACAAGATTTTCATGTCAGGGCTAATGTATTTTGTGAATAATTTAATCAATTCGTTTTGAAGTAAAATTGGAGGTTGTAAAATGCCTCTGAACTTTTAAATTGCTTGAAGGCTGTCTCTCCTCCTACCATCCCACCTTCAAGTAGGGCCTTGTGTCTGTTCTTCTCTTCTTTATACAAAGAACTTTTAAGTCCTAGTTTCCAACTCCGCCATCTTTCTCAAGCTGAAGTATTATATGTCTAAGTATTTTTAAATAGACCAGTTGAGAATTTCACTAACACCAGAAACTTGACTTGTCTAAAGGCAAATTCATTATACTTCCATCTAACTTTAAACATGCCGTTTCAGTTACGACTACTGTCTTTTGGTCAGTCAGATAAGTTCAAAAGCTTGGCATCATCTTTGACCTGTTACTCTTTTCTTTCAACCAGTTACTAAGTCCTGCAAAATTCCCCCCAGTTCAGTGCTGCTCACCCTTATATCTAGATTTGTTTAAGTAGTTATTAAGTGTTTTCTGTACGCCTAATTTTTTTTCTGTTATCCAGGGCTAGGGCCGTTTGCCTGAGTGTATGTAAGACTCAGGGTGAGGGCCATGACCAATCTCAGGGTCAGATCGTAAGTATTTTAGGCTCTGTAGGCCATATGGTCTCTGTTGCAGTTTACTCAACTTATTCATTATAGCACTAAAGCAGCACAGTAAATGAGTGGGCATGGTTGTGTTTCAATAAAACATTATTCATAGAAATCAATGGCAAGCCAGATTTGGCCTGAGGACATGGCCATTGTATAGGCCAAAAGTTTGCCACCTTTTGGCCTGTGCAATTAAGTCATAACTCCTTATATTAGCATTCAGTGCCCTTCACTAACAAGCACCTCTCTTGATAAGTTTATCTCCCATCAAACCCATTAGTAAATTCTCCTCTCAAAACAAGTGATTATTCCTTTATGTATGTGTTCATTCTCTTTCTCTCTCCTCCCCCCTCCCCCACCCATGTGTGCCTGTGTGTGTATGTGTGTGTGTGTGTGTGTGTGTGTGTGTTGGAAACTATATTATCTGATAAAAGATCTGTGTCTAGAATACATAAAAGCTTGTATTATGAATATTTAAGACCTCTAAAACTTTGAACAACCCTTCCTTTGTTCTTTCCTCTTCCACCATCCTATGCTTCTGTCAAGACCCAGAGATTTTTGTTCTTTGTGATGCTTTTCCCAACCTAGTGAATCCCTTCTCTGAAATTCTGTAGTACTTTTATTTATCCCTCAATTAGGGATTGGTTTGTTATCTATTAAGGATGCACCTAAGAGTTCTAGGCACTATCTTATTTTATGTGTGCATTGTCCTTAGTACTAGATTCTAATCCCTTAGTGGCAGAGACACAATGTCTGTATTGCTTTTAGCCTTCTCTGCCATCTCATTCCTCTGCAGTAGGGTGTGATTCTCAAATGTGGTGGGGCAGTAGTTGCATGCATAGTTTATACAGAATACCTACTGCTTTTGTAATACAGAAGTCAAAGTCGAGTGGGATGTCAATAAAAAGAGTAGACTATCTCTGAAAATTCACTTCTTTGTAAGTATGAAAATACTGGCAAAAATGTTGGATATCAGCTTTTTTAGAGATCTAATATTAATCAAAGGCTTATAAGTGCCTATAGAGCACTTTATCAATAAGATTACTAACTCTTAGTGTAAAGGGTGAGCTGTGTGGCATTTTAACTTGCTTTAATTCCACCCCACACTCAAACTCTGCAGTAGCCTTGAAAATAACAGCCTGCTTTCCCATTGCAGCCTCTCAGGCACCAAAGGGAAAGAACAGAGGTAGAGCTCTTTTAAAGCCTCATTGCCAAAGAATGGTCATTATTTGACCTATCTGGTTGTTTCCTAGAAGACCCCACTTACAAGCTTGTCAGTATTTGATTTGACTTGGAACTTGCCTCCATGAAAAATCCTTCTCTTTGGGTGGGGGAAAGGGGCATTTGTCGAAAACAATTACAGACAAATGTTTTAACTTTACAGCTGCCTGAGTCATAGATAACATTTGGACCAAACAAGAGACTAGCCAAAAAGCTTAAAAGGGAAAGCTGTGAAGTGGTATGTCCCTAGGAGCTTCAAAAATCTCTGACATATTCCTTGAAATCTAGAGGGCCACATACATACACAGGGTTGTATGCATGTTTGGGAAAGACCTGAGAAGGCCCTAAGCTCTCACCTCTGCCTGACCTGGAGGCACTCTGCACAAGCAGGAAGTGAAGACTAAGGCAGAGTTGTCACCACTTTGGTTGAATGTTGGAGGTATGTCCCCAAATACACACCCAGATCCTTGGCAAAGACTGAGCAACTTAATGGCTCCAGATGTGTAAAGAAATATCTGTTCAATCATTAGCTGACCTCTGGGCAGAAAATTTCATGGCTACCTATGGTAAAGAATACAGACTTTATAGAATTAGTTTAGGACTCAAGAACAGGCAGGAATCTGATTTCCAGCATTGTTAACATTATATCATTTAAAATAGTTGTAACATTATATCATTTAAAATATGATAGATACTAACAAATACAGTGATCTATCAGATTATGGGGGGGATTAATTCCAGGACCCTTCATGGATAACAAAATGTGTGTATCCCGTGTTCCTTATATAAAATGGTGTCGTATTGGCATGTAACCTATGCACAGCCTGCTATATACTTTAAATCATCTGTAGATTACTTGTAATACATAGTGCAATGTAAACAGTTGTTAAACTGCATTATTTTTATTGCTGTATTGTTTTTAAAAATAGTTTTGATCTGTGGTTGGTTGAATTCACAAATGTAGGACTTCAGTTACAGAGAGCTGATTTTATGACCCATACATAGGAAAAGAAGCAGTCAATAGAAACTGTCCCTGAGGAAGCCCAGACATTGCACTTACTAGGCATAGATTTGAAATCATCTATTTAAATATGTACAAAGAACTAAAACCATGGCCTGATCACCTATATGAAAATACAAGAATTATACCACCAAATATAAGATATTAAATATTTTTTTAATATTCTGGAGTTGTACAGCAACTGAAATGAAAATTTCATGGGTGAGGCTCACAGCACACTTGAGCCAAAGAAAAAGAACCTATAAAATTGAAGTTTAATGAATAGAGATTATTCAGTCTGAGAAACGGAAAGAAAATAGAGTGAAGAAAAATGAACAGGTCCTTAGAGACCTGTAGACACCATCAAGCTTACCAGCATACCCATAATGGAAGTTCCAGAAAGAGAGGAAATGGAGAAAAAAGGACAGAAAGTGTATTTGAAGAAATAATGGCCCCCAAAAAACAACTGAATTTGATGAAAATTATTAAACATCTGAGAAGCTTAAAAAACTTCCTGTATGATAAATTCAAAGAAATTCATACTAGGCACATCATAATCAAATTATTGAAAGGCAAAGATAGAATCTTGAAAACAACAATATAAAGGTGACTCACACACAAAGGACCCCCAGTAGGGTTAGTAGCCAGTTTCTCACCAAAAGCTGTGGAGGCTAGAAGGCAATAGGATAATATATGCAGAATGCTCAAAGACAATGGGCAACCAGTAAATCTATATTCATCAAAAATCTATAGCCTTCCAAGAGGAAGGAGAAATTAAGATGCTAATTTAATTTTATTAGAAAATTAAATTATTAGAAATTAACATGCTAATTCCCATGACCTTGGGATTTAGCAGTGGATTCTTAGAAATGACACCAAAAGCATAAGCAGCAAAAGAAAANAAAAAAAAAAAAACAGATAAATTGGACTTCATTAAAATGTAAAACTCTTGTATATCAAAGGACACTTAAGAAAGTGAAAAAACTTATAGAGTGGGAAAAAATATTTGCAAATAATGTCTGATAAGCCTTTAATATACAGATATATGAAGAACTCTTATAAATCAATAAAAAGATGGCCCAATTTGAAAAAAAACGGCTAAAGATTTGAATAGACATTCCTCTAAAGAAGTTATAAAAATGACCAATAAGCACAGGAAATGTTGCTAAACATCACTAGTCTAGGGCTCTGCAAATCAAAACCACAATGAGATATCATTTCATACCTACTAGGATGGCCAGAATTTTTTTAAGGAAAATAATAAATGTTAGAGAATGTAGACAAATTGAACCCTCATACATTCCTAGTGGGAAGGTGAAAGTGCAGCTACTGTGGAAAACAGTTTAGCAGTTTCTCAAAGAGTTGACCTGGTGATTCCACTTCTAAGTATATGATCATACACAGTAGTTCCCCCTTATCTGTGGGGCATATGTTACAAGACCCCCAGTGGATGCTGCAACCACAGATAGTACCAGATAACCCTGTATATACTGGTGTTTTGATTTGATAACTGAGATAGCTAAGTGACTAATGGACAGGTAGCCTATACAGCATGAATATGCTGGAAAAAGGGAAGATTCCACTCCAGGCAGGATGGAGTAGGATGATGCAAGATTTTACCATGCTACTCAGAATTGTATGCCCCTTAAAACTTAGGAATTATTTTTAGAATTTTATATTTTGAATTTTTATACAGTGAAATATTGACTGAGTAAGTGAAATCAAGGAAAATGAAATTGCAGTTAAGGAGGGACTACTACTGTATAAAAGAATTGAAAACATGTTCACACAAAATCTTGTATGTGTATATTCATAATAGCATTATTCATAATAGCCACAAAGTAAAAACAACCTAAATGTCTGTCAACTGATGAATGGAAAAACAAAATGAAACAAAATGTGATACTGTTCAGTCATAAACTTCAATAGAGGACTGATACATGCTAAACATGCTACAACATGGATGAACCTTGAAAACTTTATGTTAAGTGAAAGAAGCGAAACATAAAAGGTCACATATTATGTGGTTCCATTTATATGAAATGTCCAGACAAGGATAAAAACAAAGTAGATTAGCAGTTGTCAGGGGCTGGAAGGTTGGGAAGTGACTCCTGATGAATTTGGGGTTACTTGGAGAGATGATGAAAATATTTTGGAATTAGATCATGGTAATGGTTGTACAACTTTGTGAATAGTTTGAAAACTATTAACTATTAATCTCTGAAAGATTATACCAACATCATTTCTGGAGATTCTTCCTGATTTCTTGGCAAATGAAAAAACATACGTATTAAACCTTCCAGTACAGGTTTCAGATTCCTTATCCAAAATGGTTGGGACCAGAATCTTTTTGGATTTTGGAATATTTGCATTGTGTATACTTACAGTTGAACCTCCCAAATCTGAAATGAGTGTGTGTCATGTCAGCCGTCATTTTCAGATTTGGGGGCATTTCAGATTTTGGATTGTTTTTGTTTTTGTTTTTGTTTTGAGTACTGAGTTTTTAGTTGTAAACTTAAGATCTCCTCCTTAACTTTACATATACATAGATAACAGGGTGGTCATGAAAAGCACTTTAACATCAGGGCAGATGTTAAGTTCTGAGGTTCTGTTTTCAACTGCTCTACATACAAAATGCCCTATAAGCAAAGAAAGGCTTAAATAAATAGATGGGGAGGAACATGACCTACACCCGTATATTCTCTGACTTAACTGGGGCTTGTAAAAATGTGCTGATTCTTTTTAAGCATTTGGGGCAAAAAGAAAATGGACGGGAAACATTGGGCTTCTTGAGAAGGTGTGAACAGATAACAGAGAAGATAGACTTGTACATTTATCCCTTTGGTTTCATGCTGTCTAGCATATTGGTCTTCACATCTGAAATGGGTAGAGTATGTGTTGCTTTAGATGTGGCTTTTAACTTCTGTTTTCTTTTAATGGATACTTTATCATCTGTGTTGTGACCAAGTATTATTTGTTAATTTATTTCTGTCGGTCTTTGTCAGGAAATATGTTTTGTTAGGAAAACATTTGCTAGGAAATAAACATTGACTGAATAGTTCTTCTTTTGACTTAGTGAATTTAAGAACACTAAGTTGTTGTTCCAGATGCTGACCTAATTTCCTATGCATATGAATAGGAGTAATATCTTTAAGAGATTCTCTTGTTGCTTTGTGTTTTAGTATTCCAGTAACTTTTGAGGTTGTGGTATGTAATTTTGTTTCACATATTGGTTCATGTTTATTATGACTACAACCTCATTTTGCTTCATTTTCAGCTTGAGTATCCCTTCTAGATTGGTTTTTATATTTTAGTGATATTCAGGCTTAAAGAGTGAATTAGTAGTGCTGCACATTTTACAGATGAGACACATCAAGGCACATAGAAGTTTGTTTTTCCAGTAAAGTACTGGCACAGCCTATCAGACACTGACTCGACGTGCTTCTCCCCAACACAAGGTCCACACTATGCAACTTCTAATTGGACATGCTGTGGCCTAACCAGCCTCTCTCTGTTGAACCCTCTGGCTCCTCAGAGTCCCATTTGAAATCGCTGCTCTTTCTAAAATTATTTAAAAGCTGTGATACCATGTTTTAGAAGATGTCCCTGATGTCTCAGAAGTTATATTTTATAATAAAATGTTTTTTTGCTTCTTGTGACCTTTTGGCTTTTTTCTTTTTAATTTAAACTCGTGTTTTCTTTACTAAAATATCTAGAGGTAAGCAGATTGCCTATTTGCCAGGATTTTCCTAGTACACATGATAATACATTCTTAAAGAATGTCATGTAAATATCCAAGAATTAGGAAGATTTTTACTTGCAAGTACTAAAAAACTGTAAATTAAAATGTTTCGCAATATATTTGAAAAATATTCAAAATCATAGTGGAAATGGTAGCTATGGTTTCACCAAAAGCAAGATAGAACATTTTAACTAGTAATCTTTGTTTCCTTTAGGGTTTAATGAAGAAATTCATTCGATGTTCTACACGGGTAACTGTTGGAACTATTAAAAAATTTCTAAGTTTAAAACTAAAACTTCCAAGTTCTTATGAGGTAAGTTAAATAATATCTAACCTTGATCATTTCAATAATTAAAGTATTTGAAGTGAAATTCTAACAAAAGTGAAAACTGAGAATATATTCAAATTAAATTTGTGGAAACTTTGGTTATTTTCATGTTAAAAAATTTCAGAATGTATTATTCTACTTAGGTAATATGTATTTTCTAATTGAGCATATCCTGAATAAACTATGATACTAATACATTTAATGTTTTATAATTAGAGGAGATATTTAAAGAACTTTAAGTAGTCCCAAAATAAATATACTAGCTAAATGTATTCATGCCTTAGGGGGTGTCATTTTTTATCTGAGATCTTTGAGATCAATTATTACCAATTCTTTATAGATTTCTACAGAATGTAAAACATTGTATTTTTATCCCAAGAAATTTCATAACTAATCACAGTTCCATGAAATGCAGACGTGGTTTTAACACTAGATAAAACCAACATATTATATCTGCATAAATGTAATTTACCAGTTTATTTACAGAAGAGGTAAATTGCCCTGATATTAATCACAACATAGCTTTTCATCTGTTCCATGTTTAGAGAATGTTTTTAATCCTACATTTATGACTAAAACATTGTAAGGAAATAGGGCTATAATTTCTCACCTGCCTAAATGGTGATCTTACAATTCATTAATTTCCCCTTCTTCCCTTCTGAGTTCTGATACTAGCATCTAGAAAATTAAAGACCAGGCAGGGCTTATGCCTGTAATCCCAGTACTTGGGGAGGCCGAGGTGGGTGGATCACCTGAGGTCAGGAGTTTGAGACCAACCTGGCCAACATGGTGAAACCCCGTGTCTACTAAAGCTACAAAAATTACCTGGGTGTGGTGGCGGGTGCCTATAATTCCAGCTGTTCAGGAGGCCGAGGCAAGAATCACTTGAATCTGGGAGGCGGAGGTTGCAATGAACCAAGATTGCACCACTGCACTCCAGCCTGGGCGATAGGGTGAACACTCCATCTCAAAAAAAAAGAAAAAATTAAAGACCAGGACTAGTTTCCTATGTAAACAAGGACATCAAAGGCAGCATAGTATTTCTGGCCTATCTGCAGTAATATGAATATCATAAACAGTCATAGGAGGAACAAAATGTGACAGACCTTGACAGTTATTATGTCCATGTTTTGTGGAAGCCTCTGATTCTGAGCTTATTTGAAAGTTTCTCTCAAGTGACTAGTCTGTGGGTTAAAATTGTTATTATGGAGAATTTCCCCAACCTAGAAAGGCAGGCCAACATTCAAATCCAGGAAATACAGAGAATACCACAAAGATATTCCTCAAGAAGAGCAACCCCAAGGCACATAATCATCAGATTCAGCAGGGTTGAAATGAAGGAAAAAATGCTAAGGGCAGCCAGAGAGGCCGGGTTACCCACAAAGGGAAGCCCATCAGACTCAGTGGATCTCTCAGCAGAAACCCTACAGCCAGAAGAGAATGGGGGCCAATATTCAATACCCTTAAAGAAAAGAACTTTCAACCCAGAATTTCATATCCAGCCAAACTAAGCTTCATGAGTGAAGGAGAAAGAAAATCCTTTATGGACAAGCAACTGCTGAGAGATTTCATCACCACCAGACCTGCCTTACAAGAGCTCCTGAAGGAAGCACTAAATATGGAAAGGAACAACCAGTACCAGCCACTGCAAAAATGTACCAAATCGTAAAGACCAACAACCCAATGAAGAAACTGCATCAACTTATTGGCAAAACAACAAGCTAGTATCAAAATGGCAGGATAAAATTCACACATAACAATATTAACCTTAAATGTAAACAGGCTAAATGCCCCAATCAAAAGATAAAGACTGGCAAATTGGATAGAGTGTCAAGACCCATTGGTGTGCTGTATTCAGGAGACCCATCTCATGTGCAAAGACACACATAGACTCAAAATAAAGGGATGGAAGAAGATTTACCAAGCAAATGGAGAGCAAAAAAAGCAGGGGTTGCAATCCTAGTCTATGATAAAACGGACTTTAAACCAACAAAGAACAAAAGAGACAAGGGTATTACATAATGGTAAAGGGATCAATGCAAGAAGAAGAGCCAACTATCCTAAACTTACATGCACCCAATACAGCAGCACCCAGATACATAAAGCAAGTTCTTAATGATCTACAAAGAGACTTAGACTCCCACACAATAATAGTGGGATACTTTAACACTCCACTGTCAATATTAGACAGGACTTGATTTCCAGGACTTGAACTCAGATCTGGACCAAGCACACCAGTAGACATCTACAGAACTCTCCACCCCAATTCCACAGAATATACATTCTTCTCAGCACCACATCGGACTTAGTCTAAAATTGACCACATAATTGGAAGTAAATCACTCCTCAGCAAATGCAAAACATCAGAAATCATAACAAACAGTCTTAGACCACAGTGCAATCAAATTAGACCTCAGGATTAAGAAACTCACTCAAAACCACACAACTGCGTGAAACCTTAACAACATGCTCCTGAATGACTACTGGATAAATAAAGAAATGAAGGCAGAAATAAAGATGTTCTTCAAAACCAATGAGAACAAAGACACAATGTGCCAGAATGTCTGGGACATATTTAAAGCAGTGTCTAGAGGGAAATGTATAGTACTAAATACCCACATGAGAAGTGAGGAAAGATCTAAAATCAATACCCTAACGTCACGATTAAAAGAGCTAAAGAAGCAAGATCAAACAAATTCAAAAGCTAGCAGAGGACCAGAAATTGCTAAGATCAGAGCAGAACTAAAAAAGATAGAGATACAAAAAACCCTTCAAAGAATCAGTGAATCCAGCAGCTGGTTTTTGAAAAGATCAACAAAATAGACCGCTAGCCAGACCAATAACAAATAAAAGAGAAGAAGAGAATAGATGCAATAAAAAATGATAAAGGGGATATCACCACCAATTCCACAGAAATATAAACTTCCATCAGAGATTACTACAAACAACTTTATGCACATAAACCAGTAAATCTAGAAGAAATGGATAAATTCCTGGACACTTACACCCTTCCAAGACTAAACCAGGAAGAAGTTGAATCCCTGAATAGGCCAATAACAAGGTTTGAAGTTGAGGCAGCAATTAATAGCCTACCAACCAAAAAAATTCCAGGACCAGATGGGTTCACAGCCGATTTCTACCAAACATACAAAGAGGAGTTGGTACCATTCCTTCTGAAACTATTCCAAACAATACAAAAAGAGGGAATCCTCCCTAACTTATTTTATGAGACCAACATCATCCTGATGCCAAAACCCGGCAGAGACACAACTAAAAAAGAAAATTTCAGGCCAATATCCATGATGAACATCGATGCAAAAATCTTCAATAAAATACTGGCAAACTGAATGCAACAGTACATCAAAAAGCTTATCCATCATGATCAGGTAGGCGTCAACCTGGGGATGCAAGGCTGGTTCAACATATACAAATCTATAAACATAATCCATCACATAAACAGAACCAAAGACAAAAACCACATGATTATCTCAATAGATGCAGACAAAGCCTGCAACAAAATTCAACAGCCCTTTATGCTAAAAACTCTCAATAAACTAGTTATCAGTGGAATGTATCTCAAAATAATAAAAGCTATTTACCACAAGCCCACAGCCAATATCATACTGAATGGCCAAAAACTGGAAGCATTCTCTTTGAAAACTGGCACTAGACAAGGGTGCCCTCTCTCCCACCATTTCTATTCAACATAGTATTGGAAGTTCTAGCCAGAGCAATTAGACAAGAAAAAGAAATAAAGGGTATTCATTTAGGAAAAGAGGAAGTCAAATTGTCTCTATTTGCAGACAACATGATTGTATATTTATAAGACCCCATCGTCTCAGCCCAGAAATCTCCTTAAACTGATAAGCAACTTCAGCAAAGTCTCAGGATACAAAATCAATGTGCAAAAATTACAAGCACCCTATACACCAATAACAAAGAGCCAAAACGTGAGTCAACTCCCATTCACGATTGCTGCAAAGAGAATAAAATACCTGAGAATACAACTAACAAATGATGTGAAGGACCTCTTCAAGGAGAACTACAAACCACTGCTCAAGGAAACAAGAGAGGACACAAACAAATGGAAAAACATTCTATGCTCATGGTTAAGAAGAATCAGTATCATGAAAATGGCCATACTGCCCAAAGTAATTTATAGATTCAATGCTATCCCCATCAAGCTACCATTGACTTTCTTCACAGAACTGGAAAAAAACACGTTTAACCTCATATGGAACCAAAAAAGAACCTGCATAGCCAAGACAATCCTAAGCAAAAAGAACAAAGCTGGAGTCATAACACTACCTGACTTCAAACTACACTACAAGGCTACAGTAATCAAAAGAGCATGGTACTAGTACCAAAACAGAGATATAGACCAATGGAACAGGACAGAGGCCTTGGAATTAACTCTGCACATCTACAACCATCTGATCTTTGACAAACCTGACAAAAACAAGCAATGGGGAAGGATTTCCTATTTAATAAATGGTATTGGGAAAAACTAGCCATGTGCAGAAAGCTAAAACTGGACCCCTTCCTTTGATGTTGTACAAAAATTAACTCCAGTGGATTAAAAGATATAAATGTAAGACCTAAAATCATAAAAACCATAGCAGAAAACCTAGGCAGTGTCATTCAGGACATAGGTATAGGCAAGGACTTCACGACTAAAACACCAAAAGCAATGGCAATAAAAGCCAAAATAGATAAATGGGATCTAATTAAACTTAAGCTGAGCTTCTGCACAGCAAAAGAAACAGTCATTACAGTGAACTGGCAACCAATGGAATGGGAAAAATTTTTTGCAATCTACCCATTTGACAAAGGGCTAATATCCAGAATCTACAAAGAACTTAAACAAATTTACAAGAAAAATACAACCCCATCAAAAAGTGGGCAAAGGATATGAACAGACACTTTTTAAAAGAAGACATTTATGAGGCCAACAAACATATGAAAAAATGCTCATCATCACTGATCATTAGAGAAATGCAAATCCAAACCACATTGAGATACTATGTCATACCAGTTAGAATGGCAATCATTTAAAAATCTGGAGACAGCAGATGCTGGAGAGGATGTGGAGAAATAGGAACGCTTTTACACTGTTGGTGGGAATGTAAATTAGTTCAACCATTGTGGAAAACAGTGTGGTGATTCCTCAAGGATCTAGAAATAGAAATACCATTTGACCCAGCAATCCCATTACTGGGTATATACCCAAAAGATTATAAATCATTCTATTACAAAGACACATGCACATGTATGTTCATTGCAGCACTGTTGACAATAGCAAAGACTTGGAACCAACCCAAATGCCCATCAGTGATAGACTGGTTAAAGAAAATATATCACATATACACCATGGAATACTATGCAGTCATAAAAAAGGATGGGTTCATGTTCTTTGCAGGGACATGGATGAAGCTGGAAATCATCATTCTCAGCAAACTGACACAAGAACAGAAAACCAAACACCGCATGTTCTCACTTATAAGTGGGTGTTGAACAATGAGATCACATGGATACAGGGTGGGAACATCACACACTGGGGTCTGTTTGGGGGTGGGGGGCCAAGGGAAGGATAGCAGGGGGTGGAGAGATTGGAGAGGGATAACATTAGGAGAAATACCTAATGTAGGTGATGGAGGGGAGAATGGATGCAGCAAATCACCATGGCGTGTGTATACCTATGTAACAATCCTGCACGATCTGCACATGTACCCCAGAACTTAAAGTATAATAATAACAATTGTTGTTATGGTTCTACAAATATTTTTTCAAATTCTAGAGACATCAACTTTTGTATTAGGAAAAAAATATGGAAGTATCAAAGCCCAATGTACTTGATAAAAATAAATGATGCTAATAATGTATAGATATGACTAAGTGAAAAATAGACAATAAAATTGTTTTTATTATTTGGTTTTATACTTTATTTTCTTCATCCAAAATACCATGTATAGTTTTATTTCCTTTTAAGTCTGATTCATTGAGTTAACATTTTCTAATTTTTAGAAAGCTGTTATTACTAAGAGAACTATTACTCTTGTATAGTCTTACCTCTGGCATGTACATATTTCTCTATAAAAGATGGCAGAGGGAGAGATTCAGTACACTGACATCTCCTTATCTATCCCAGTGCAAAGGAGTTTTCCTATGACTTAGGAATCTTTTTCAGTTCCCCCCTTATTTTGCTGCCTAGCATGCAGGGGGATGATTTAATGAAATACCTGACAGCGGAAGCTTTTGTAACAGAATTGATAACTGGGGCAAGATAGTTTAGTTGCTAAATGACACTAATAGATGCAGTATACCTGATTAGCAGTTGCATCCTAAGTAAGTCCCTTCATTTTTCTTATGAATTTATTTATAAACAAGATGAAAATGAAATGACTCCTTTATTCTTTTAAGAGTTAATAAAATGATGCCTGAAAAACATTTTGGGATCCACGTAAGTCATAAATCATCAAAAAATAAGTAATTTTGCTTCATGTGTCTAATACAGTTAACTGAAACTATACTCATCTTAAAGTTCAAAACTGTAGTCTCCAGCCAGATGAAGAATTATTTAAACCTCATTCTTCTTCCTCTCCCACACTTCAAATGAAATCTTTCCAGCTTGTTTTTAATAGCTAGATAGCTAAAATGTTGTTTTATTTATAGGGATTGATGATAAACATTTGCTTGATTATGCTTTGTTGAATTAGTGAAATATAGCCACAGTTCCTGTACCCTTCTTAAAGATTTAGGGGTTGTTCCCTTCCTGCAACTTGGAGCAAAAGTTAACGCTGATAAGTACAACACTTTTTCGAAGCTTTGTGCAAAGTGAGAAGAGGATCCTGTAAGTATTGTGCAAATTACCAACCAGGCAAACCAGAGAAGCCAGACAGCCCTAAGAGACACAGACCTGTGGCATAGTCCTAACTTTTGTATCAAATTAGCTATTGGTAATTACTGAAAATTCTCATATACCTTTAAAGCCCCATAAATCACTGTATCCACATTCATTCATTTCCTTCTTCAAGCCCAAACTAATAAGAAGAAAGTAACCTCTTCAAATCTTGGGAAGGTGAAAGAATTCTGAGAGAGGAATTGAGAAGTCAAAGGAGCTGAGAGGAACTGTGAGGTTTCTATAGGTTCCTGTTCAAAAAGGGGCAGCCACAGAAATATGCCTTAAACTTCTAAGAGACATGACAGAGATTTGGACTAAGAAAGTTACATTGCATTTGTAAATTAAGTGTATGGACTTGAGATATAAGTATGTGAGACAAGATAAACAGTGCTGTGTGTTACTTATATCCAAATTGTTAACACTTTAGGAGAAGAATAAATGCTTTCTGTTTAAAATAATGGTAAATGCTTTTGTTATAACTATTTGAATATTTTTTGAAATTTCAAAAACTGTGCAAAATACTTCTGAATTCAACATTATGTTAATAGATCTATAATTATTCTTTTTAAAGCTGGATGTGCTGTGCAATGGTGAAATTATGGGGAAGGATCATACTATGGAGTTCATCTACATGACAAGATGGCGACTAAGAGGCGAAAACGTAAATTGCTTTTATATTTACTATGTGTATATTTAGTTATATACCATTATGTTACTCAAATTTTTAACAATATTAGGAACTAAAAAAGATAAACTAGCTTGGGAGAGAGAATAAACTGATTCCTCTTGTTACTATTTCTACTAGCACTCTGGAAATTGGTCCCATGTGTAAAGTCAAGGTCTGTGGTAAATGTGGTTTTATCAGATTTAAAGTGAGATTAAAACCCCATCTAAATTATGTTCAGGACTTTACTAACCAAGACAGAGAAGATAACATTTTTTTAAACCCAATAAATTATTGGAACACTTATGTATATGGAATGGTAGGGAGGGAAACTAAGTTCTGCCCTGACTAATATGATTAATGGTTGATAAGAAAGTTTATTTTTGGTTGTGGTAGAGGGGACAGATAGGGTAGAATCTAAATAATCTTCTTTCAGGTACCTCCTTTTCATTGAAAATATAAACTCAGACTTAAGGGTAAGTGAGTTTGCTGTGCTTTCTGATGCCAGAATTAGATTATTGTGCCTTAGGCTCTTAAGCAGTATGGGAGAAACAATTCAAAGGAGAAAACTGAAGAAAACCCAAAAGACAAATTTTGTATTTTGAACAATATCTTTGATTCTGGTTTGTAGGACTGATATATGAGACTGAGATATGAGACTAAGGAATACAATAGTAACTTAGGTTCTACTAAGTTCTATAGCAGTAACTATAACTTAGGTTCAAGCATGGGATATTAGGGAAATTTGAGGTACCTAGGGATTGTAGGACTGTCATATGAGACTAAGGAATACAGTAGTAATGCTATCAGAAATAACCTTCATAATCTGAGTGCATAAATAAACATGAATTAAGATTGACTAGAAGTTTGGACCAGATAACTTTTAAGATTATCTTTTGGAATTCTAAAATTATCTTCTGTGGTATTTGTGATACAATATGTCATACTCTTAAACCGTAATTTGTTCTGTAAACTAGATTTATTACATTTTCTGAAATGTAAATGAAAATGTAAATTCTAAAAAATAACACACATTAAGAAATTTAACCTCACACAAGAATAAGTAATATAGAATCCAGATATAATGAGGGTTGCCATGTTACAGTATTTCAAAACATATTTATATTGAATGTAAACATCTCTGGAATTGTTACAAAACAAGCTGCAAAAACTCATTGTCTTATGGGTAAGATACTTGGCTCTTTTGCAGAAGAAATGTCTCTATATGATATAATAATAAGTGAAGCACCTAAATGTGTAAATCAGAAGGTTTTTTTCCTACTTGAGACATAGGAAAAACCCCAGGTAAAGCCTTTCTTATGAGACTGAATTCTTTCACTAATAGCGGAAAGCAAGAAGGAAAAAATACATTCTAATACCGCCACCAAATAGCATGTGCCCTTGAAGAACTCACCAAACATCTATGTGGTTCACGTTTTTAAAAATCTAACTACCTTTGTATTTGGTAAATTACAACCTGCCTTTCTGTGACATTTTATAATGTTTTAAATGACTGTACATGTGTCAGTCGCCCTCAGTTAATCCCTACAACCAAGATGTTCCAGGTACCAGGTACAGATTGCACAGGTAGTAAATTCTTTTTTACCGAACACAGTTGAGGAATGGATATTATGATATTACACATTATACTGTATTAAATGTAACTTCAGCTTTCTTTGATAGTTTAGCAAGCATTGCAGTGTGTTTTAGTGCTTGAAATCATGTTGATGAATAGACTTGTCTTAAGGTTAAAGAGATATAAATGGACATCCACTGCATGACCTCTATGAGTGCTCACTTGTTCTTTACAAGATCTCTTCCCAAAGTTCCTCCAGCTGCCATTATTTTAATGTCAAAGTATGAAAGAGCTAATTTATAGACATTTTTTATTAAGAGACTATGATTTAAATCAGTCCTTAATGAATTACATTTCTGATTACGTATTTGTGAATAGTTTAAACGTTTTGGTTTTATAAGGCCTACTTTAGTAAAAGTTCAAAAGTGGTTCAGTAGCTATGGTTTATCATTCAGGTGGAAACTAAACCAATAAACAGAAAAATTACTACCTTTTACATTTAGTGCAACAGCAAAGCAATATATTAGCCCATTTTGTTTGTTGGTGTAACAAACCTGTTTTTTGGTTACTCTCCTCCAAACCTGTTTCACCTCAGTCATCACAACCTCAATAATTCTAAGGTTGGTAGCTCCATTTTTCCAGTTGCTCAGACCAAAATCCCTGAAGTCAGCACTGTCTGCCTTTTTCTTTCAACCATCCTTAGCAAATTCTGTAACCTTTACCATCAAAATATACATTCAGAATCCAGCTATGTGTCACTTACCTCCACTTCACTACTGGTCCAACCCACCATAGCCAATCTCCTGGCAAGGCCATGCCACCACGCTTGCCCAACCTCTGTCTTCACCTCATACAGCAGCCAGAGTGATCCTCTTAAAACAGGTTAGAACATGCCCACTCCATTCTCCGATTCCTTTAATAATGTTTAATTTAGGAAAAATCAGAGCCTTTCTAGAGACCTACATATGTGACCACCATATAATCTCCCTAGATACTCTCACACCTCATTGTTTACTTTGCCTGCCTGGCCTCACAGCACTGCAGCCACACTGGCCTGTTTCCTCAGCCACACCTGGCTTGCCCTCACCTCCCACGGTACCCACCTAACTGGTTTCCTTTACCCCCTTCACTTAAGTAACTTTGCTTCTATGTCACATTCTCAGTGAGGCCTCTGACCTCATCTAAAATTACAACCCCCTCTACCGATGGCATTCTTACTCCCTTTTCATGCCTTATTGTTTTCCATAGTATTTCTTGCCACCTCTGACATATTATGCCTCCTATTTATGTGTTTATTGTTTGTCCCCAAGTAAAATATAATCTGAGGACAGGGATTTTTGTTTGTTCACTGCTAAATCTCCAGCACCTAGAGCCGTGCCCAGCATATATACTCAATCAGTACTTGTTCAAAGAGTAAATTGAATGAAAATGTTATCTTTTATAAAGTAATGGTTATGTAAAATATATCCTAAAAATAATATTTATTTAAATCTCAGCTTTCTATTTGTTTCTATTAAATAAACTTTAAATTTTTATTCAGCTTCCAATTACAAATTATTATAATATTAACAGATGAATTCTGACAGTTGAGTAACGTGGACGAATGCAGTAGTATCACTAAAACAATCATTTCTTGATTAAGCTCCTATAGCATATTGTTGTGATCACATCCCTTCTCATTTCATCATCCACTGCCAGCAAGATGCCAGGATGTCTGAAGAGCTCTTTCTAGTCTACTTACCAGCTAACTAGCTCTGCCTTAGATTGGAGTCCACTTATTTCCTAAACTAATGACCACCATGTGGTTCTTTTACTTGTTTCTGTTACTTTTTGGTATTAAAAATTTTAATCTATCTGAGATTAATTTAGTTCTACAAAAACACAAGGTTAAGATTCTAATTTATTTCAAATTATTTTTAAATAAGAAATACAATGTATTGAATAATCCATATTTAACCTTATTGTTTTGAGATGTCACTATGTCCATGTGTGTGTGTGTGTGTGTGTGTGTGTGTGTGTGTATCTATATGTTCCTAGACATTGTTTTGTTCTTGTGAGCAGGTCTTATTCTGAACCAGCATTACACATTATCTAGCTTTTATAAAGAGCTGACCACCCCTATCTAAAACCCTCCAGTTGTCTACTTTCTTTGGGATAAATTTGGATGAAGTTTAAACATGTTTTATAGGGCAAGTAGTTGGGCCTTCTAGGTTGCTTTATAATGTGTATTATTAGGACCTGTTAGGGCAAAATCCTCAATTATTCTTTTGAAATTGTATTGGCTAATTTTACCCATTTATTCTTCAAGATGAGCTTTAGAATGGGATTGTGACTGGCACTGGATTATTTCTAAGTTGATTTGGCTGGAATTGGCATCTTTGTGGGTTTTTATTCTATTTGGTACTATGGGATGTCTCCTCATCTATTCTACATACTGGGAGTAAGTCTGTCATTTTCTTTCCTCATATTGGATACCACTCTGCCCCCTGGAGTCTTTCATCTCCAACAAGGATACTCCATATTCAGATCACCCCTTTACCTCTTCCTACTTCTAGCCTCTTAGGAAGAATATCAGGAGAATTGATTTTGCCTCAATTTCTCAAGTATAGTTGGGTATTTCCCTGCACCATACAGATTCTGTGCCACTGTTCTCCTTTGTCTTTCGGCAGTTCCACTTCAGGCTCAGCCTGTTTTCTATGGTCCCTGCCCACTCTAGACCCTTGTCTCTACTGTGATGCATTTTTGAAAGATTTTTCTCTTTAGAAATCAAAACAAACAGCTGGTCAGACTTAGCTCTTGAAATTTTTTCAGTTCATATCAGTATTGCCACCTCAAGATTCTGTACTCAAGCTTGACATTAATCTTTTTCTTATTAGTGGGAGAAAAAAGAAAAAAACCGTGCTTCTAAATCTTTAATGCAGATGTAAATCATCAGAGGATCTTGGTAAAATACAGATTCTGACTCAGTAGGTCTGGGAGTGAGGCTTAAGATACTGTATTTCTAGCAAACTCCCAGGAGCTGCTAATGCATCTGATCTTTGGACCATCCTTTGAATATTAGTGTTTCAGGAGATGTGATCTGTGACTACTGACTTTCCCTGTAGTTTCCACATCTATAAATTGAGGATGCAGAATTACAGAATCAGATCTCAGTTTGGAAGGGACTTATGTCATCTAATCTGTCATCAATCTAATACTTGGATTTTCTTTACAATATTCATGCCCAAGGGTCATCACATTTTTTGAAACATAAATGGAATCATATGTATTGTTTTACAACTTTTTTTAAAATTTGAGAATGTGTCTTGTGCAGAGTCAGTAAACTTTGAAACAAATTTTTAATACATTAATAATATTACATTTGTGTGGCTGTAGCATAATTTAATTAGCACAGTCCTTTGGTGGACATTTAGATTTTTTT